CAGCGCTGTCCAGGGTGATGTGGGCCCCGGAGCTAGCACTTCTGAGAGGCTTCCCCACTGAGGCTGAGCGGCAGCAATGGAAGCAGGAGGGGGTTGCTGGTTCAGGTGAGAGGCGCACTTGCCAGGGACTTAGGCCACTGGGAGCCGAGAGGAAAAGGGGTAGTGGCGGGTGGAGTCTCATTCTTTTTTTTTTCCCAAATAAAATTCCAGATTATTTGTTAAGTCTTTGGTTTTTGGAGTCCTTGACAGGGTGAGCGTGGTTCTTAGTCTCTGCCCAGAACTTTAGGTGTCTTAACCCAGTACTCTTCACTGCCCAGATTCAGTCGGAGTGACAATGGCAATGACAGTTACTTTTCTAAATCTTTAACATATATAGTCAGTTTTTCAATCTTTTAATATAGACACATAAGGTAGATTCTACTGTGGTTGTGTTAATTCCACTTTGCAGATGAAGACATCAGTACACATTGGTTAAGTTAATTTATTTAAGTTCACACAGCTAGTAAGCACAAAAGCTGAAATGAGTTAGGGAAGGTGTAATTCTTGTGAGTAGTGTTGCATTTGCTGGAGGGATAAACAGTTAAAAGTCATTTACCAGGGGGATATAGGCATGACTGGCGGGATTTAGGCTGGACTTAGAAGAGTAATAACAGATGATAAATAAGAATAAGTGATAAGATGATAAATAAGTACTGTGTGTGTGTACAGTACTGTGTGTGTGTACAGTAAGTTGGTTAGGGAGGAAGTTTGTACAGTACTCTGTGTGTGTACAGGAAGTGTGTACAGTACTGTGTGTGTGTACAGGAGTGTGTACTGTGTACAAGTGTACAGGAAGTGTGTACAGTACTGTGTGTGTGTACAGTAAGTTGGTTAGGGAGGAAGTTTGAAGTCTGGTGAGAAGTGCTGGTCTGAAAAGTTTCATGAAGACATCAGACTGTAGCTGATATTTGATTAAAGGGTAAGACTGACATGTTGAGGAAGAGTTCATCAGGAGAAATTAAAAGTGTAAAGGTGCATGTGACATTTAGGGGACTAGTGAGAGAACAGCATTCTTAGATTGACTTTTCATGAAGGAGAATAGTGAAGATAAGAAGAACAAGATTGTAAAAAGTCTTGGAATCTTGATCAAGGAAACTTTTCTGTTGTCAGTAGGAATCTTTGAATTCCTTTGCAGAAGGGTAATATTACCTACTAATGTGGAGTATTATTTCAAGGTTTGACTTCCCCCTTGCTGTTCACAATCAGATGGATGAACCTCTGATTTCTGGGGAGATGATGTTTGTAGAATGATGGACATTGCTCAGCCTTGTCATTAATGTACAACATGCATGATAAGTATATATACTTTTCGATACACCAAAATGGTAGATTTACATGATACTGTTATCTTTAACAGCATGGAAAAATACTTTTCTTTTGGATTACTGCAGTAATTTTTGTATTGCAGAGAGTGGATCTTTCCTGCAGTTGCTGCTAGAAGGAAACTATAAAGCCATATTCTTAAATTCTCTGACTCAAAATATTTTTAATTCAACAATGACGGCTGAAGAAAAGATTGACAGCTATCTGGAGAAGCAGATAGTAACATTCCTGGATTACTCAGAAGATTCGGATAAAAGAGAAAGGTAGAATTTTATTTGAAATTTTCCTACAGGAAGAGACTCTGAATGCATTAATAGCACTGTGATAGTGTAGGGCACTGATTTTAGCAGTTGTTCAGAAATATGGCTGTACGTTTACTCAGGACTCATCATGTACTAATAATCTATGTAAAAACTCTCTTCTAGAAGACCATCCAGAATGAAAATGTAAAGTGGTGAAGGAGAAGAGTTTCATATATTAGACTAACACATACTTGAATGTTAAGTGCTAACTCACTGAGCTTCCAAGTGCTTAGGTCTGATAGATAGCCTGAGGCAAGATTTCAGATCTTTTTTGAAAACAGTTACTTCAATCTTATTTCTGAATTTCGAGCGATCACTTATAATTACTTTTATTATGTTTTATGTTGTTATCTTTCTAGAGCTCAGGGAACTTAATGTTTTTATTATGTAACTCTTCTTCCATTCAAGTTTAAGTAATTTTATAGGGTTGAGAGTAGTACATGGTTACAGGACAATGAAACCCAAGCCTTTCAGTGGCTTATATTTCACTGTCACAGGTTTGATACCTCTGTCTTTTTTTTTGAGACAGAGTCTCACTATGTTGCCCTTGGTAGAGTGCTGTGGTGTCATAGCTCACAGCAACCTCAAAATCTTGGGCTTAAATGATTCTTTTGTCTCAGCCTCCCAAGTAGCTGGGACTACAGGCTCCCACCACAAAGCCTGGCTATTTTTTGGTTGCAGTTGTCATTGTTGTTTGGCAGGCCTGGTCTGGGTTCAAACCCGCCAGCTCCAACGTATGTGGCTGGTGCCCTAGCTGCTGAGCTATAGGCACCAAGCCAATACCTCTGTCTTTACTATCTGTGACAACCATGTCAAATTTTAATTATCTTATAAATGCATACAATTTTTTAACCTTTATTTCTAGGGAATAGCTTTAATTAGTTCCTCAAAAGAACTATTGGGCTAGGTATGGAGGTTGCGAAGATGAATAAGATACAACCCATTTCCATAAGAAGATCACAAAAGAATGCTACTATAGACTTTTTATTTTGTTTTTTAAATTGGTATCATTCCTTTCATATTTCTGTTTTACTGGTAGTTTACATTCCTGAAATGTCAACCAGATTTATATTTTGCTCTCTGATATGTGAGCATGATCATAGTAACTAGCCTTGTGGTGTATACAAGTTTCTTACATAAAGCTGAAGAGAGGTATTTCATGCTGGGCATGTTGGTTCACACCTGTAATCCTAGCACTTTGGGAGGCCGAGGGAGGTGGATCACTTGAGGCCAGTAGTTTGAGACCAGCCGGGGCCATATAGGAAGATGCCGCTTTTACTAAAAATAAGAAAAATTAGCTTGATGTGGGGATATGCATGTGTAGGGTAGTTTTATTAAAGTTTTAAGATATTGCTTCACACCTGTTTTTCACGAATTTCCTAACTTAGGGTTGCAGATAGGTTCCTTTGTCACCTGTTTATTCTTTGCTCCGTTCTCAGTTTTATTGCATCTGAACTTTAAGTTTTTGGCTGGCATAGGTAGCCAAGCTTGGGTGTGTATGCTTGCATTTTTATCTTTTTTTTTTTTTTTTTATAAAGACAGGATCTTGCTATGTTACGCAAGGCTGGTATTGAACTCCTGGCCTCAGCTTCCCAAAGTCATGGGATTACAGGAGTGAGCCTTTGCAGGAGGCCTTGTTTAAGGAAGGGCCTTATACTTTGTCTTCAGAATGAAACTGCAGTGTTCCCTGGCTTTGTTTGCTAGAGTTGAATCC